TTAACATTTATAGTAAGTACTCTTTAGCTCTGTTTTTGAGGACCATTCTGACTAATGAGGACCCTGACAAAAAAAAGTGATAATGCACTAAGTAGGCCCTCAAAAAGTGCTTGTTTAAAGAGTGGGAGCTGAAACAAAAAAATAGAGCATCCCATCATTTTGTTACCACTTTATTTGGTGTTGTGTACCTGGGAGAGCGGTGCCTAAAATGATGTGGACTAAGTCTCATGCCATAGCCAACTTTATTCAGGGCACCAGACAATTTATATTCTGAGGGCATTCTGAGGGTTAAGCAAGGTCATGTGAACAAAGTTCACCTGAGTTCAAATTGTATATAGTCACAAGGGCAAGGCCACATGAGTTTAGGCGGAATACAGGACAACTCAATCTTGGAAACATCATGCTGAATAATAATGGGTGTGATGGTGGGTAATCTCAAGTAAAACTCACTCCTATTTACTCCATCGGGGAGGGGCACCAAAGCACATTCCAAGAACAATCCATGTCATGGGGGGGACAGAGGACACATGACTCCTGGCTTTGTTAGCATTTAGGCATGTACCCTGGCTTGCTCTCAGGGCCCTAGTAGGACACACACACATAGCAGCAACCAAGATGAGACACTGTAGCTACCACAGTTACTAGGCAGAGCACTCTCCCTATGGACACGCGCTCTATCCCCTTATACAAGGCAAGCCCCTCCTGACCCCCATCTCTCTTCCATTCTGCTCTCCCTCAGAGGCTGCCTCTGCACCTCCTCCCAACAAACCTCCCACATGAGCTCTGTTGCATGCTGTGACTTTGTGGTACCCCTTGGCTCCAACCCGCCAAGGTCACCTTCTGCTGCTAAACTATTAGTCTTGTTTACTTGGAGTTTTCTCACAAGCTCTCAGAGATCTCACACAACTTCCTTCATGGACTGTGTTCTGACATCTTTCTTTTTATTTTTTTAATGCAGTTATATCCAGAGTGATTTTGATTTGAGATGTTGATAAATCTAATTGTCATTTGTCATTTGAGGCAAGAGTATCCTATTGCTAAGTCTCAATCCCTGGGACAAATGGCTGAGGTGCCTATTTAACCTATCAAAGCAGACCTGTCCTCCAGGTCCTCCCAGCATCCCTCAGTCCCCACCTGTTACAGGCTATGACTAGCATACCTTGCCTTCTACCCTGAACTCTCTAGCCCAGGGGCTGGGCTGCCCTTCCCTATATAATCCAGCCATTTTGGTTACCCATCCCTTTTTTAACCCTTTACCCTCTTGGCTACTGCACCTGGGTCTCCTCTTTCCCCTCTCCTCACATAGCTCAAGGCCTTGTCCATTCTGGACTTTCCCAGATATCTCTGTGTCAAGTGTTCTGTTTTGTGTGAGACCATTAAAGAAAGAGAATAACTAACTTCAAGATGAATTTTAGGGGTTGGAGTTTTAGCTCAGTGGTAGAGCGCAAGGCTGTGGGTTCAGTCCCCAGCTCCGGGGGGGGGAAAAAAAAGATGAATTTTAGGCCTATGTGGCAGCAGAAAGGTCCGCCTCTGGACTGAACCTTGAACAATCGTTCAAAGGAGTACTTATTGATTGTTACACAAAGTTGTTTTGGAAGGGTAAACAATTCCTCATACCAAAGTCTCTGATCTAATCTATATGTTTCTCTGAAGGAAAGCATCACACCTGGCCACTTTAGTCTTTATTGTGTACCCAATAATTCAAGAGCTCCAGGTGGGCCAGGAGTGTCTTGTAACTAAAGTCACACAAAGGCTATAAAGCTGCTTCTGAAACACAACTCTATAAATCACAGAAAACAATCACTGATTTCCACCAAGATTTCTTCAAAATCAAAGTACTTCTAGAAAACATTCAGTGACTCTGCTAGATTCCCACAATATCTCTTCTTCTGGCTATGCTCTCCCTTTTATTTACAATAAACTTTCTCCTCCAGCATACCTTGGAGCAGTCATGTACTTTCCTTTTGCTTTTTTTCATTCATCTGGTGCCAAAACCATGGGAGTGGCACAAAATGAGCTCCCTTCCAGGGAACTCAAGTCTCTCCCAACCAAGCTCCTAGCCATAGACACTGGGAGATACTGGGAATGGCACTAGTCCTTTGAAACCTCCAATCAAAGCCTGTCCCTAGTGACACACCTCCTCCAACAAGGCCACACCTCCCAATCCTTCCCAAATAGTCCCTATAACTGGGAACCAAGTACTTAAACATATGAGCCTATGGGGTCCATTCTCATTCAAACCACCACACTCTTATGCAGATCAACAGTGAAAAGAAGCATGTGAAGCAAAATTAAATAAAATAAGAATGCATGGTTTCCAGAGAAAAACAGCATGGAATGTGTTGGCTTGAATGAGAATGGCCCCCATAGGGAACTGAATACTCAGACCCCAGCTAGTGGTGCTGTTCAGGAAGGTATAGGTTTTTTTCTTATTGGAGGAAGTATGTCACTGGAGTTGGGCTTTGAGAGTTGAAAGACTGCAGCCATTCCCAGTTTGCTTTCTCCAAATCCTGTTTGCCGTTCAAGATTTGGGCTCTCTGCTCGCTGTTCCTGTCTGTCATCTCCCCTCTGTCATCAGGGATACTGCCTGGCATTGTTAATAAGAAATCATCTTTTTCTTCTAGAAGTTCATGGTGTTTTATCACAGCAATAGAAAGTAACCAATACAACTGCCCTCACTAAAGAAGACAAGCATGAGAGGAGAAAGTTTTTGATAATTTGTACGTTAGGGTAACATCACTGACACACAGCCCATATTTTAGAGGCGGACTCTACATTCCCCATGAGAAAGGGACAGTGATGATATATGTGTTTCAATTTTTGTCCTTTTCAAACTATTGATTCAATCCTTTAAGATGATCTAAAAGTCAGCTGAGCAGGTGATAACTGGAATTAATGAAAAATAATAGCATGAAATTAAAATATAATTCCATGCAGGGTACTCGTGGCGTATGTCCTTAATCCTAGCACTTAGCAGGCAGAGGTGGATCTCTGAGTTTGAGGCCAGCCTGGTCTGTAGAGTGAGTTCCAGGACAGCAAGGGCTACACAGAAAAATCCTGTCTTGAAAAAACAAAATAAATAATAAATAAATTCCAGGAGTATATCGTGTGGTTATGTATGAATTATATTTTAGATAGATACATTTCATTTATTTGTGCATTCCAATCACTGGTTGTGAAGTAAAATATAACAGCTTGTGAGTCAGAGTAAACTTTGTACAAACTATCTGGAATTATGTTTTTTTAAAGAGTTGCTTTTGTTTGACATGCACAGGACGGGGGGTGGGATGGGGTGGGGTGGGGGTGTTCTTTGCTTGTATCCTTGAGTACCATATGCATGCAGTACCTGAAGAGGCCAGAAGAGGGCATCAGATTCCTTGATTGTGAGCAATGATCTGGAAGAGCAACTAAGTGCTCTTAACAGCTAAGTAGTCCCATCAGCCCTTACTATCTGGAACTTTATTGCACATTTAACCACAAATACAGACTCTAACCTAAAAGCCTTCATCTGACACATTACTACAACAATAATCCTTATACTTCTCTACCTTTTTTTTGTTTGTTTTCGAGACAGGGTTTAAGCTGGCCTGGAACTCACAGAGATCTGCCAGCCTCTGCCTCCCGAGTGCTGGGATTAAAGGCGTGCGCCGCCGCCGCCGCCGCCGCCGCCGCCACCACCACCCTGCACACTTCTCTACTTTTTATTGCTTTTTATAGAAGGCTAAATTTAACTATATAGCCCAATGAGAAATCTGTTTGTGTAGAAGGACCTGGCAAAGGAAACATATTAACTAGAACAGTTTGGTAATATTTTGAAAAAATACCCTGATTTACAATCAGCTCTCAAATCAAAAAGGCCTACCATTTCCCTGCTAAATGTATGGCTGTGTTAAAGCACACGGACCATTTGCACTGTATCTTTTTTTTTCTTGTAGTTCTGGTTGTCCAGCAATTCACTACGTAGATCAGGCTGGCCTGACTCAGAGATCCACCCGCCTCTGCTTCCTGAATGCTGGATTACCACATCAGCCAGAATAAAGCATGCTTATCCTTCTGATCTCACATTCAGTCTTACAACAAATGTTAATAAATGAAAGCATTTTCTACTAAATGTCCCCTCCAATTGCTGGCAATAGTTAATCCAGCGAAATTTCAGAATAAGAGGATTATCTCTTTGGCTGTTATTTGCTTAGTTGACTTCTTGTTTCCTTCCCAAATACATTTATGCTTTAGTTGGAATGATGTATGGTATATAAGATGTTGTGCTGAAAACCATGAGGCATTAAAAGCAATGCCCACCTCACCCGTTAAGAAAAACGTTGAAAGCAACATGGGGTTATAAATATATATATATCACTGTGGTTTCTTGTACTGTTCTGAGTCAATAGGACCAAAAAACAATTTACTCCCTTGCAAGACTTCTGTAAAGGATTAAGACAAAAGTTCCTCATTCCTTTTTAACACATTTGCTGTGCTGTGCAATAGCTAGTAGACAGCCTTTGTTCAAGAGATCAATGAGATTAGGGGAGAGATTAGGACTCTTCTGCACAAATCAGGCCAACTCTTGTGTAAATAACACCAAGGGTTAGTCTCTTTTCTTTTGTATTGCATCAGCTCTTAATCATTGAACCTTCTCTCCAGATCCTGCTGACATATTTTTAATGTAACATTAAAGCTGAAAGAATAAATATTTCTGGAATACAACTGTATTTCTGTTTCAATGCTTACTGAATATAATGTTTCAGCTATTTTCTCCAGGTTAAGAGTTCTAACTTCTCACCCCAAACTTCACTGGTACTTCAAAGAGTTGCAATGGGAATACTTGGTAGGAAAAGAGCGAGAAAAAGATAAGACTATAGAAATGACAAAGAAAAAAGTCCAAATTATCTACCATTGTTTTTAACATTTTAACTTTTTTTTTTTCATTTTAAGGAGGCTTATGAAGAACAAGTTCCCTTTCTGGGAACTTAAATACAAAAACACTTTAAGAAAGATTTGAGAAAACTTATCAAAATGCAATTTTTATTGTATTTCTCAAGTTATAAAAATATGAACATGTCAAAAATATAGTTGAGTCCATATATGAGAAGTTCCAGCCATTTAAACGCCATACAGATTATGGAGTTATACAGAGTATGGATAAAGTAATTCACAATGCTTCAATTCTGTTACTGCTAGCGGTACACAGCTTTTGAGATTGTTCTCTACCAACAGAAAGGGTGGTACTTGGGCATTTTAATTGTTTCTGCTAAAGATGTAGTTTTTTAAAAAGCTAGTTCAAAATAAGTGTAAACATACTCTAAATAGAACGTGTAAGTCTTGCTAAGTACTGAAATAAGGAGTGGTTTTAATCTCAGTTCCATCCCCTTATATTTAATTCAATTTTAATAATACATTAACTAGAAATATAGTGTGTATTTCTAGGCCAAAGTAAATTACTAGTTTTAAAATTAAGAGATAAAAATTTAATTTTGGTTGTACTACAGAACAAAGCTAGCATATTTGGCTTAAAATATTTAATTACAAAGAATTTTAAAGTTTAACTAAAAACTAAAAATACATCTTTTTTCTCTAGAAGCTAAAACATTAAAATTAATGAGTTTGTTCCTTTAAAGTTTATCATGAAGATCTTTTCTGTTTTTATGTTTTTTTTTAACTACAGGCAGAAATGTTCTAATATTGATTTTTCTTTTATCCAGTGCCACATAAAAACAAATTATAAAATTAAAGACAACTTTAAATAGTAGATAATACAGCTGATAGTACAAAAAGCAGAGGCTAAAACTATTCATGTGGGTGGTAGGTAATATACCGAAGTCTTTGGGCCTGAAGTTGATGTGGGAGCCTTCGGAGTTCAGGGCGCACAGAGACAGCAGTAGCTTTCTTTCTAACTTTCAGAGTCTGTCACAAAGTTCAGTTTACTGCTGACGACTGACTCATATAAGTTCTCAAATAAACTGGGATGGATACTAGAGACACGTATGAAGAGAAGTAAGAAGATCTTAAAATCCAATTCTTAGAACAAAAGTGAACTTATGACCATTTGGCAAGAATACTTAAAAGACTCTGGGATTCAAATCCCCAAACTAGGTTATACTGCCAGGAAGAAACAAGAACTGATTTTATCACTTGGTCACCTCTCTCATTTTTGGCTTCAGTCTTGGATTTCTACATTTTGTATTCCCCATTCTCCCATTAAAGCTTTTAGTTTCACTACCACTTATCATGTAACTATATTGACCTGAAGCTGCCAAGAAAATGTTGGAAAGGTGTTATTGCCACTAAATGTACCCAATGCTCAAGTATCAGCCAAGCATATTTTTTCACCCATCTAGCTGATCACCTTATTTCAAAAGGAAACATGTCGATGTAAGAAAACAATACAGACTATAAAAGCCTTATATCTAATTCAAATATGTCAGAATACTGGTGTGTAAACTAATTTGAATTGACTTCAAAAATCTATAGTTACATATTAAAACTATATTGCCAGTGCTGACTGTAAACAAGCATGTGCTTCAATGAAAAATTATCCTAAGGACAGAAAAGCCACTACTTCCTCCTGCAGAGCTATGTTGTGCTATTCCACAGACAGTATTACAAAAGGACTCCATTTGTGCAACAGACTGGGTTCACAGTGAGTATCTTAGTACCTGGATCATGTTTAATATTACCCCGAGAGCACCAGTAGTGGAACGTAGACATAAGGCATGTAAAAAACTATCTTTAAAGTTGTTAGGGGCAATAATCCAAACTGGCAACTGCTCTAGCAAAAGTGCTGCTAGGAATAAAAAACATATTACATGCATTTTGTTTCAGCACATACTGGTATATAGTACTTATGCAATGAAATATATTCACCCACATTAAACTTCTCCTGCTGGAACTAATGGACGTAGAGAGTGGGCTTTTGCTCCTTTAAGTGCTAGCCCAATCCTGAAAGCGGAAGCAGTCACTTGCGATCTTCCACACGGTGCTGTTAGGAGTGCTATGTGCAGTCAGCAGGAAGTTCTGGTTGAAGAAGTGTTGTTTGTTTCCGTCAAACTTCACAGCTCCACTGGTCACAACGAGAACTGTAGTCTGGGACTTGGTAGCTTGCTCTGTAGCAACACAAACAAGAGAAAGATAGCAATTTACATGTCTAAATAAGCTTATGATGTAATGCGAAAGTTTTTTCATAAATGTTCTGCACTTGGAGCATGCATCCTGAAGTCAAAAGTTGAATATGAAAAAAAAAATTAAGGTGATTTTTCTATCTAGAAAGATTTGTGGGGTACTCTTAAGTTTCAAAATAAAGATTATAAATCTAACACGGCCATTTGTTTCCTATATGTGCTAATATTTCATTAGATATCTAACATCCTTCACAGTTTGCTTCTTAAGCCAGTCTTCAGGAACTATATGGGGAAATATCACTATAAACAACTACTTAAGATAGTAAGTACTCCATCTAGAGGTAAACATTATACACTACATCAACTACTGAATCAAATTCTGTCATGTCCCAAGTCATTCTTTCACAGAATACGGTTCTCTGAAATGTTAACAGAACCTCAAACATATTAATCTACGATACAGCATAGACTTTTTTTTCTGTAGGCATTCTCCTCTTCAACAAAAATCACATTTAGTTGCAATTCCTCATATAAATTGTAATAACCAATAATCATACACTATCTAAACTGGATAGTTCTCCAGAGTAAAAAGCCTCTAAAAGTACCAAAGCCTGACTGTATAAATTACTTTTCATGACACTTCACTTACTCAAATAAGTAAATATATCTACTATTAAAAGTTATTGCTGCTTTAGGTGTGAACCTCAATGTTTACTAACAGCAAATAAAGGAGATGCTTTGAAAGATCATGATCTTACCATGAACTGGTTGGCAGTCCAACATACTGATCTGGAACTCACTGGAAGGCAACATCTCAAAAAAATTAGTAAGGGCTTCCAGCCCTGTAACAACATTTCCATTCCAGATTAGAGTGGCGTTGTCCAAATACAGCCTGACAATTGCCTAAAAATAAAGGAAAACTTTTTAAATTTTTTTCCTGCAACATTTTCTAGAAATGCATTAGGAGATTATAGATGAAATGTAAACATTTTCATGACTCTGTCTCCATCTCCACTTCCTTTGTCACCTTGCTACTGGAAAACAAGGTGACCATGATGTCTATCTTGCCTTAAGTAGGTATTAACCGACTCTATAAATATGGCAATTCATACAATTGTAATATTTCCACTTTAGATTCAATGAAAAAAAACTTGCATTCCTCAAATAGTAAGAGTTTTAAGGTTTTGCTATTTGAAAATGAATTAAATGATTACAAATCCCAAGCATATCCAGCCTCAAACTTGTTTTTATGTTTCTCATTTCCAATTCGGAGAATTAAGCCCTTAACACACTTTAATTCTGGTGACTAAATACATAGGAATCATTTGATGCTTTTATGCCGGGACTAATTCATGTTTTAGTATTGCCACAGTAAATACAAAAGAATCAGAAGCACTTAAGTGGAGTGACAACAATAAATGTGACCAGGTCCAAACGAGACAGCAGCTAACAGCTTTAACTCTTTTGGGTCAAGTGACACATTACTTCTTTTATTCTCAAAGTGAAACTGGATGAAAAGGCTCACGCATACCCTTGCAATGATAATGAACTTGACTCAGTTGCACCCACAGCGTTTCACTATGTTGCTCTGGCTGCCCTGGAACTCACTATGTAGGCCAGGCTGGCCTTGAATTTAAAGATCTGCCTGCTTCTGCCTCCCAGGTGCTGGGATTAAGCACCTGTGCTACTAAACCCAGCAGACTACTTTAGTTTTGAAAGCACCAAGAGAGGGCAAGTGACAAATACTCATGACAAGGGACAATTAACCTCCGCGGTCACAGCCTTTCCCACCTCCGGGTCCACGTCAGCAATAGCAACACATTGTATCTTGTTTCTTTTTTCATTGTTTTTCGAGACAGGGTTTCTTTGTGGAGCCCTAACTGTCCTGGAACTAGCTCTGTAGATTAGGTTGGCCTTGAACTCACAGAGATCTGCCTGCCTCTTCCTCCCAAGTACTAGGATTAAAGGTGTGCTTCTTTCTTAAAAAAAAAAAATTCCTTTTCAAATAATACAAGAGTCCTATACTGGTAGGAAACCAAGGCAAGACTATTTGATCACATACTGAAATAATTCCTTAAAAATAGAGTTGAGGAGTAAATTACAATAAAAAAAAAATCTTGGAGTAAATTACAATAAAAAAAAAAGACCTTGATCTACTAAAAGTATCTACATCACATGGATCCTTCTTTTGAACATCAGCTACAGCTGTGAACTGTTGGGAATCTCCCTTGGAGCTGCCCTCTCCAGAAGCTGCCCAAAGAAAGCCCGCCAAGCAGCGGCTCCACCTCTGGCAGGTATTTAAGGTCTGGCCCACAGACTTCCTCTCATGGTTTCCCCTCATGGTTTCTCTTCTTTCCTGGGACCATCTGGGAATGTTTTGCTCAGATTAAACCTGGAATTATTAATTTGGCCTGATCTGACTTATTGCATTGTCGGAGGTATTCGATACTGGGAGATTTTTACTTATCATCTGATGTGTCGGCCTGGGTGAGTCAAGCCTTTCCATGACCATGCAGCATGGTCATGGGAAGCCATTCTCACCCTGCCCCCATCATCTGATGCACCAGACTGACTTGACTTGGTAAGCCACCCACTTCCAAACCAAAATGCCTGTAAGAGATTCAGGATCCCTTCCAAGACTTTGACCCTCTGTGCTGAAGACTTCCAGAGCACCTGCTAAGGTCATTGCAACACCAGGTAGCTCCAGCCCCGGGCCCATTCCAGAATTCTCCTGTCCCGAAGATGTTCCACACTGGAGAGACAATTGCACACCATTCTTGTCAGCAGGCTTACAGACCGGATGCAGTTTTTGTAGCCTCCAGCCCCCCCCCCCATAAGCCTTGTGAATGGATGCTTGCAGCTTCAGTCTCATCTCCAATTGCTATGAAATTTCTCCAAATTAGGTCCCTCATCCAGGTTTATGAGCATCACACCCCTTTTCTCGCCCACCAGCATGCCCTTGCTGTTTCTCAGCATCTCTGCCCCTGCCCCTTCACTCTGCTTTTGCTGCATGCCGGTACATCTTCCTCTCTCCTACAAATCTCTTTCCCTGCTTTCCTTCCATCTCATGCTTTTGTTGATGGGCTGTGTCTCCACCCTCTCCCCCAGAGTTCCCTGCTTGCCACTGCCTGCCTCTTATGCCTGCAGTAGTCTGTCTCTGTTTGCTCCCTCCCTCCTACCGACGCTGTGGGGTGGGGGTCCCTTTTTCCCATCTGGCAACCCCCCCCCCCATCGTACTGTGCTGAAATTCTACCCACCCGCTCTGCCCTTAACCATTCTGTTCTCCTTCAATAATCTCTGCTACACCTTCCTCTCTCCTAAAAATTTCTTTTCCCCAAATCCTCCACTTGCTGTTCCAGCTCAGGCAGCCTGCTGCTACTGTTTTTCATCCCCCTCTCCCAGCCTTCTCTGGGCTCAGTGCCTGAGGAGGCAGAGCCCAGCACCGTGGCGGACAACGCCCACCCCACCCCCATGCCTGCCCAGGCCAGGAAATGTCTTTACTATGCTTTCTTACATTCTGCTTATTCTGTAAACTCTTATTTCAGGATTTTTAACTGGGCCCTCTGACATGCACGGCTTCCTGGGGAAAGTTTTGCTCATCTGAAGTCCCGTCTATTTCATGGGTATGGATGGAAATGTGGTTACAGTGTGCTCGTTTTGACTGGTTTTGACTGCCTGAGATTATGTGTTCCATGTGTCTTGGCGACAGCACAGCTATGTTCCCTCACAACTAGCTACTTGGGCTCAGATTTTGTAATGACAGAAAAAGTTATGTTATCCCACTCTCCCTTATTATGAAGAAAAAGAGTTAAGAAATTGGGTATGGTTAAAAATCTTTAACAAAAAGTAACTTAAAACTGCTAACTCCAAATTTAAAACAACCATGCGGACCAGCTGCCATTAAGACAGAGAAGAGATGACCACGTGGAAGTGGGTCCACCAGGAGACATTGGGTCTCCAAGTTATTTTGGATTAGGATAGATTTCTGTATGATCATCCCTGTCCCGTCCTAAAAACAAGGTTTATAAAAAGATAGGATTTAAAACAATGCTGGTTTACTGAGGTATTAAAGCTGTACCTCGGTACATTCATGTACAGGGATGTATCTTGCTGGCAGCCAGATTTTGTAACCTAAGAATAAACCCCTTGATTTTGATTTTAAAAAACACTAAATTGTCTGAAATGTTAAAACTTGGTTTTGCCTTATGATTGTATCTTAGGACCACAGCTGAAAACTAGAGACGAAAAAATATTCCTTCTAACCTTCTTGCTTTAACTAACATTGGTAAGCTGTAACTAACTGGGTGAATTCTAAGTCCAGATTTAACTTATAAATGCTCTCAAAGTTAAGTCTAAACATTTGTCTAGTTTAGAAATATCTAACAGATTTTGTTCCGTTGATCCTCAAGTGCTTCAGAGATCTGAGAATTTTAATGAAAAATCTTAGAGAGACATGCCGACCCCTAGCAGCATCCTGTATCTCCTCCAAGGCCACAGAAGAACTTGCACCTTGAAGCTTGCTTTAAATGTGGCAAAAGCCAGCCACGCAACCAAATCCTGCTTTGCAACCACTGCCAAGAGCCTATTCAGATGGAAAGAACAGGACACAGGGAAACTGACTGCCCAGCTTTGCCAAGGCAAGGCAGGTCACTCTCCCCAAACTCCTACCCCAAAGGAAAGCCCTGTCAGATATTCTGAGCTCGGCAGCTGAAGACAGGTACTGCTTCTGGGACTTCTGTCCCCCCCAACGACCATTGAGAAACCTCGAATTGCCTAGGTAACTGGAAAGCTGTCTCATTTCTTACTTACCCTTCTCAGATCTGGGGGTATTTGATGATGAGGGTACTTATAAACTGATAGAGCACTGACTACAGACAGTTTTCAGAAGTTCTTAAATTTCTGTGGATTTTACTGCTCCCAGCTTTCAGAGACAGGTTAGCATTAGAGAGGGTATGGAAGCCTGCAGGCATTTTCAACTCTGTTCGTCCCTCGCTCCTCAGCCTCCCTCCCTCCTCCTCCATCATTCACTCAATGTCTTCTGTTTAGTAAATTTCCTCTGGTTGTCCTCTAAGTATAGACTTAAAGGTGTGTTTCATCGAGCTGAAACTAGACCCTAGGAAAAAATGTTCATACCTTTTAACCCAAAGCCATAGCCTTTTGCTATGACACCAAGATATGAATCTGTTCCAGTTGTTTTACAGACACCTCCAGGTTTCTGCAGAGGTCTACTCTTTTCCTCGTGCCAAGGCCAACCCACATGGGGGCCCTCCAGATATGGCAGCCCCTGCACCAGCTCTGAAGACACCAACCGGGTGAGTACTGACAGGCTGATTTCACCTACATGCTCATTCATAAAAAGCTCCACTATCTCTTAACTCTTATTGACACCTTTACAGGATGGATGCACTCCCCACCTCCAGGGAAACAGCAGGTGTGATGGGTCAGGTACTCTTGAACACATCATCCATTGATTTGGCCTGCTATGCCCTGAAGCTCCTGGAACATCAGTGCTGGTACCAGCTTTCTAGACTCAAAGGCATATCTGCTCTTTCAACTGGCTCATTCACCCTTGCCTCTTCTGTACAACCAGGGCACATTTCTGTTCCATTTTCCCCCCATGGCTAGTCCTGTTCATGGGGCCAGTGTTAATAATCTATTTTTTTCCTCCTAGCAACTTGTCTTCTCCGCCTCCCCATGGAACAGATGCCTGATGTCTCCGGGATGGTAGCAAACTGAATGCTTCTTCACCTATACCTCCTGCTGAGCGTGTCCCTACCAACTCCCCCGCTCCACATCATCCCATGCCAGCAGGGAGCAGCCAGACTTGAACCTGAGTCTATATATACCCAAAATGGTAGGGATGTTGGGGAATCTCCCCTGGAGCTGCCCTCTCCAGACACTGTCCAAAGAGCCCGCCAAGCAGCGGCTCCACCTCCGGCAGGTATTTAAGGTCTGGCCAACAGACTTCCCCTCATGGTTTCCCCTCATGGCTTTTCCTCTTTCCTGGGACCATCTGGGAATGTTTTGCTCAGATTAAACCTGGACTTATTAATTTGGCCTGATCTGACTTACTGCATTGGTGGAGTTACTCACCACTGGGGAGATTTTTAGTTATTATGAACCTTTAATCAGAAATTTTCCATTAGTATAGAAAATAAAAGAGGAAAACCAGGAGACATCCCCCAAAAATATAGACCGTTCCATACTAGCACTGTTTACTTAACTATGTTAATTCAAAGGACAAAAAAAAAAGATAAACTACTTAAGTACAGGTATGCTGGACCCAATGTTATGTGCAGTATTTAAATTAATTCCTGAGCTGGGGATACTGTACAGTGGTAGAGCACTTGCATAGTATAGTATGTTAAGGCCCTGAGTTCAGTTTCCAGCATTGCAAATGGTTTTTCCTACTTACAAGTAAAATGAGGTTATGAAAAGTTGAGACTTTGCCTAAGAGCATGGTACTAGGGAAAGGCAACTTATGATGTTATTCCAGAGCTGACATCCCCACTAATACCTTGCCATACAGTCTATAAACAACTTGTTTTCTTTTCTTATTATATTATGTTTTTTAACAACAATATAATAAAAAGGGGGTTCCTTTTTTGGAAGGGTTTATCTTTCCTAGGGCAAGATGTTTTTTGGCAACAGAAAAATTATTATCTTTTAATTTAAAGAATTCTTTTGAAATTCTGAAACTAAATATACCTCGGTAAGTGTGGATAAATATACCCATTTCCCTGTTCTCTTTATATATAAATTCAAGGTTTAAGTGTTTTTATTTTTAGATCACAAATACATGCACTTTGAATTTCAGCCTGCCTTTTGCAAGTGGCTTTTACATTTAAATCATTGTAATTCTTAGGTGTCTGCCTCCAGTGCAACCTACAGCAAGGAGGGGAGGGCCAGTTCTGCTCTCATACCCTCAGCTCCGGGTCCTCCACACTTATATTGCCAGGGTCAGCTCTATTGCTTTGACCAGGCAAGGTGCATGGCCCTCTCTCCTGATTGCTGTAGGGGGCATACAGGGAGAGGGAGTGGTGGTGGTGGTGGTGGTGGGAGTGGGGGTGGGGGTAGAGG